CACACACACACGCACACACACACACAAGCATCCACAAAACTAGAACTACAGCTTACATGATGGGAACATTCTAAGAAGCAAAGACAACTTTGGAAATTAAAAATATGATACCAGATATGAAAGACTAAACTGGAATTAGAAGCAATGAAAGATAAAGTTGAGTAAATCTCCCATATTCTACAGCTAAAAGGCTAAGAAATGGAAAGGCAAGAAAGGAGAGGAATTAAGAGATCATATCTGACATCCAGAGGTGGAGGAGGAAGAGAGGATAAAAGAGAAGAGTATATTATTAGCTAGGGTTCTCTAGAGAATCAGAACCAAAAAAATGTATATATAACTATGAAAGAATTTATTAATTGGCTGACACAGTCAGAGGCTGAATAGTCTCACAGTGTCTGTCTGTGGACTGCAGAGCTGGGGCAACCAGTAGCTAGCTGCTCAGTTCAAGAAGCTGGAAGCCTCATAACAGGAGGACTAATTATGCAGTTCCAGTCCAAGGCTGAAGGCCTGGAAACTCCCTGGAGAATTATTGGTGCAAGTGCACCTTCAGAGGTCAAAAAACTGGAGTCTAATTTCCACAGGCAATGGCAGCAACAAAAAGATGCACCTGCTCAAGAAAAGCCTAGTGTGTGCACTTGAGAGCTTCTGCTTTTTTGTTTTATCCCGCCCCCAGCTTATTTGATGGTGCTAACCACACTGAGGCCAGATCTTCTCTCCTCAGTTCTCTGACCCACATGCCAGCCATCTCTGGAAACATCTTCGCAGGCACACTCAGAATGTGTTTTAACAGTGTTCCATGTAGTTCTCAATCCAGTCAAGTGGACAACCAAGATTATCCCAAGAGAGAAAGAGAAGAAAAATGATAAGGGGAAGGAGGAAGACAAGGAAAGACCAATGGAGAAAATAGCACAAGAAAGCAACTTGTCAAACTGAAAACTTCCCAATCCAAAGCACATGAATTTCAAGATTTAAAAATCCCACTAAGTGTTCCAGAGGTCAAAGTGTCAAGCGCATAATGAAATTTGGGGATACTTGGTCCAAGAGAAGGTTCAGCAAAATTCCAGAGAGAAAACTCAAGAGGAAGAATGCCATCAGACTTCTCAACAATACTTCTTAATTTTAAAAGACTGTGAAAATATATTTTCAAAAGTTTCAGGGAGGGCTGG